TCTCTCTCTTTCTGACCGCGAGCTTAAGGTCGCATAGAAGGTATTCAGTTTCTGAATCGTTCAGGCTCAAGCCAACAGTTTGGTGATGCTGTCTGAGCCTTACGTCATGATTTTTTTTATTATGCTGGTAATACCGGATACCGGGGTAAAATATGGAGGCGGTTTGACGGTATCAAAATTTGGATACCGCCCAAGCCTAAAACAATCTTAAATGTTTTAATGTTTAAAGATTGTTATAATTGTTGCAGAGCGCACACATCTCAAGTCATCTTAATGTGAGCGCTTTAATGGTCAAATAAATGCTAATTTGTGTCAACGCAGTGATTATTTATATTTAATCATTTGTGTAATAAAGTGAAACCATTAATCAAAACCATACTGCTCTTAAAGTGACAACATGCAATATTCCTGCTGCTGTCTGTTTTTATCATTAATCAAACAACAAAAGGAGTAAATCACTCACTGCTCTTGACTGAAGGACTATTGTAGCTATGATTATATAAGTATGTAAGTTTTTCCTTAGTGACTATACTTAAAGTACACTTTGTTTAATATTTTTATTCTATTGTATTTATTTCTCTTTCCTTATTTACAAGTAGGAAAATAACTGCATATACAGTTGAAGTCAGAATTATTAGCCCTCCTGAGTTATTAGCCCCCCATTTTTCCCCAATTTCTGTTTAATGGAAAGGGTTTTTTAAAAAACATTTCTAAAAATAATAAATTTAATAACTGATTTCTTTATCTTTGCTATGATGACAGTACATAATATTTGACTAGATATTTTTCAAGATACTATTATTCAGCTTAAAGTGACATAATTAGGGTAATATCTCAATCCATTGTATAACAGTAGTTTCTTCTGCTGACAATCAAACATAGCTTAAGAGGGCTTGAATATTGACCTTAAAATAGGTTTCAAAATATTTTAACCTGCTTTTATTCTGGCCAAAATGAAACAAATAAGCCTTTCTCCAGAAGAAAAAATGTCATAAAATATGAAAAATTCCTTGCTCTGTTAAACATCAATTGGGAAATATTCATATAAAAAAATTCACAGGAGGGCGAATATTATGATTTTTCCCATAATCAAGCAGCCCTACTCAACATTGCAAATATCTTGTGTGACTTAGCGATGTGACTATTGTGAATGATCAAATTTTGATATCAATGCTGAAACGATATGTTGTGCAGCCCTGCTTACAAGAACACCACAACCCATGCATGTTTGCACAGAGCATTTCTGCCAGTTTACAAAATTAACAGTAAACTAGGTGCTTTCTCAACCTCTTAAAGTGAACACTTGAAAATAAATGCTACGTTAGAAAATAGCTAAAAATGTAAGTTACAGAAGTTTTATTGTTCTTAAAATCTCTCATTTGGTATGAAATAAATATTTTAAACCGTTACAAAGGAAAACATATCTTAAAAATGGCTCTAAATCTTATGTTGCTATTAAGAGAGGGAGAGCTTCAGTAAGATCTTGATGACAATTTGATTATTTTGGTTTTGCTTTTAATTTCAGTATTGTGGTGTTTTGACTTTGATACAATTTTGACTGATGATGCCATTCTGATAAAGTAAAAAAAAACACATGGCTTAAATTTTCCAGTCAGCTATTCTAATAATCAAGTCTAAATTAAACTGAAATATGTTGTTAAAAAAAATCCCAGTTCCAATGCTTACTGTTAACTGCTTAGTTGCATTGTTACTTTGAACTATCACAGTTTGTTTTATTAAATTGATTATTATGACTTGATTTTTTTGAAGTGGTTATTAAAGTATTTAGCTGAAATGTGGTAATGATGAAATCCAGGCTTGAACAGTACATATAATTGACAGTCTAAGCTAAACTTGTTTGCTTTCATTCTGCAGGCATCGCCTCTATGACTCCGAGCACACAGCCCAACATCGCCAACATCAGCGCTGGTTCACCCGTCATCCCTGCCCCGAACACAATGGCCACACAAGTGCCCACTGCCGCTGGAGCCCAGCCCTGAACACCCACTGCCCCACCTCCACCCTCTCTCTCTTTCACATCCCTCTCTCTCTGTCTCTCTCTCTCTCTGTTTCTCTCTCCTGTGGGCCTGTTTTGAATTGTGAATCGGTGGGGGGGTAGTGGGTGGGAGGAAGGCATTAATTTCATTTGTGGTTCTTTTTATTATGTTGCAAATAACACCGAACTAATGTTAAGTTACCATTTTATTTTGTTTTTCTTCTCAGTTGTTGTTTAGGGGTTTATGAACTCAAAAAGAAACCCATGATGTTTTTTGCACCTGTCTGTGTGAGTTAGAAAAGCAAATGGGTGTGAACTTTCACTCGCCGTGACTGTTTAGAAACACGTAAATGTCCACCTGAAAAGAAGGATAATAAAATTAATTTTATATGTCCCTCTAGCGTTCTTGTGCTCAAACCATTACTTTTGACTGATTTAATATTGTTATTTTTTAGTTGTGGTTTTTTGGGAGGCTGGGAGTGTTTTTCCTTTTTTATTGTTTTGTTGTACTTCTTTTAGTCAGTTTTTACAGCCTTGATCACGGTGTTCACAAAACCTGGTGTCATATTGAGGTTCTCCGAGTGGATAAAGAGTCGTTACTTTGAGAGTTTGGTTTTGAGGACAGGAAACGGCCGATTTGATTGTGGATTTCTTCCGTTATAGCGTTTGGACTGAAGGCCAGATTCAATCAAAACTAATGTAACTTTTCTGATTTGTGTTTCTGATCATTGTGTAACGAAACACCCTTATTGATAATGGAAGCTCTTTTATTTCAGCTCTGCTAGTTCTGTGTGTTGCAGGGTAATTGGATTTCGTCCCGGATCTTGCAAAAGTCACTAGTTTCTGTTGGAAGGACTTAAGTATCAATTGCTGAGTAACACGATCAATAATATGCCAATTTTTGTGCTACTTTCAGTTTTGTGTGTGTGTGTGAGTGTATGTATGAATGGGTGTCTCTTGTTTTTTTTTTTGTTTTTTTTTTGTTTTTTTTTTTTAAGTTCAGACATTTGTTTAATACTATGAAGAATTTTTGTAATTTTCATTTGAGAGGTGACTGTTCAGTGAAAACACATACATCTCTTTCTATCCCACGATAAAATCAATTAAACAGGTGAAATATTAATTTAGCATTGCATGTTTTACTGTTATTATTTATTTTATTTTATGTTTGTTCATTTTGGTTTGCTGATTTAGGAGCAAACAAGAATATTACAGACTTTGTGTTACTCCCAAACCATCCTGACTAGAAGCTCAAATCTTTTATTAATTTAATACTTGTTTCTTAAACGAGTTTTTAAATTTATTTATTTTTCTTTTTGGTCTTGTCTATTATTGAAATAATCACTACTTCTGTAGTGGAGGCTGAATTCATTTTTTTTCTCTCTGCCTTTTTTCGGTGTCAAGTCTCTTTTTCCAAATTTGCAATAGATAGACTTTGTTTATTAGTCGCTTCCACGAGAAAAATATATTAAGGTAAACCGATTCATGTCTTTCGGTTAATTTAGCTCTACTTTTCATGCAGCCTCCAGCAATAAACGTCTCATGTAGTAATTAACATTTTTGACATTTTTATGTAATTAAAGAAAAAGAAATGTTTAGCTCTCGTAGAAAGCTATGTTTTATGTTTCATCTAAACGTATACATTGTGTGACAGCTATTTTTTAAATCTTAAAATTACAAAATGATTGCACAATGTTAAATTCGACAGGGTTATGGAAAGCTAATACAATGTTTACTATGTAAGCTAATTTCAGTTTTATACAGGTAATACGTTTTTCCTAAATAAACCGAGATGACTAAAAACAATACAATGAGACGGACAAATGATGTTTTCAGATGTTTTCCTCTTACAAGTGTTCATTTTAAGAATAGAGAATTCTGCACGTCTGTGGCGTAGCAGGTTTCAGAGCTCAAATAGGTTAGGCGGTCCTTTTCTGCCATCTAGTGGTCATATAAGATTTTCCATTTCAAAAAAATGTTTAAATAATGCTTTTAAACGGATTACGAGTTTTACATTTGTTATAATGGTATATTTTCATGTTTTGCTGTGTAGGTTGAATACAGGTAAGTTTGTTTAAGTCTCCCTCTCACACACACAAACTAAATCAAATTTTTATTGTTTTGCATGTGCTTCCACAAACCACCACAAATTATTAATTATTTGGTTCAATGTTTCAACATAATTCCTAGTTAAAGGCCTAGCTCACCCCCCAAAATAAAAGTATGCTATATGAAAATATTCCCCTTCTATCATGGAGTTTTTTTTTTTCCTCTGTTGAATACCAAATAATACCTGTAACGACTGACTTATTTGAAAACATTCTGGGATGGTTAACTGAACTTCTTTTGTGTTAAAAAGAAAGAAACTCAAAACAGTTTTGAGTGAGTAAACAATGCCAAAATCATCTCACTGGTAGAACTGTCCCTCAAGGTTTACATTAACATTTTAATTTAGCTGCTTGTAACAATAATTATGTTAAGAAAATATTTACAGTATACCTTAAAATTGTGATTGAAAACATGGATTTGTGCCCGACAGTAAGTATTTGAATATTCTTAACTTAATTACATCAGTTGTTTTACTTGAATTGGTCACCATATTCATCATTCTTGATTCTTTATCATCTAACCCCCCCCCCCCCCCCCCCCCCCAACCTGTGTTAATTTAAACTTCTTCAACTCCTTTCTGTGGATTTTAAACACTGAATAGACAAGAAAAGCCTTTAATCTAATGGATGAGAGGCACTCTCATCCACAGTGGTACAAACAGTGGTACAAACAAATGTGGTACTTGTCACAGTGGTACAAACAAAATCCTTCTCTGTGAAGGAAGGAAATGCCATGGGGGAAATTCAGCCATGCATCCCCTTTATTATTAGAAAACACACCTGCCATTCAGGCCGAGAGTATTTGCTGGTTTCTAAGGCCTCATCTCCAGTGTCCCTTAACTGCTCACCTGTGACCCTATTGTCCAGATCAAGCATTTAAAGCCACAAATGACACATGAACCCCTCAGAAGGACATCAGCCCTCAGAATGAAGCTGTAAGTTACCAAACTACTCTCTTCTATTTTGCCTGAGTTTTGTCAAGATGTTTAGTCAGCATTTTCCACCATGAAATTCAGTATCTGTGTTACTAGTGTTCAAATATGTAGGATTGTTTTATGATGGCTGGTGTAAAATTAATGATATTGAACGATGAGAGGCACTGCTCAACAATATAAAATGTGTGTTTATGTTTCACTTATGTTGACCTTTGGAAAATGTTATATTTTTCCCTTTCGTTCTCCATTCTGGCTTAGGATCAGCAGCTCCCTGACTCTTCTAGTCTTTATAAATGCTGTGTTTTCAGCAGCTATGAGAGGTAAACCTCACGTCATTTTGTAAAGTTTTAGACAATACCATAATCGATTTTTTAACAACTAAATATTTTCTGAAGAGCAGTAACTGAAAATTAATATAAGATGGTTTATTTTATTTGTCTGTTTTTACTAGATGGGGGTGAAGATTTGATACATTTTCTTAAGGGTGAGAATGTTTTGTTTTCCTGTTAAAATTTTGCTAATTTGCTTAAATGCTATTTTTCATGTTGGGGAAAGTTTCTTTTAAAAGTAGGCTAATATACTATTACAATTATAAACCCAGTTGAGATGGGGGAATAAAAAAAAACTAATAGTTTATAGTTAATATTCAAAAATAAGATAACACTTTTAAAATGAAGTAATAACACATTTAGTTATTTTGTAAGTGCCTCAAGATTGTAATAAAAAACTTTTAAAGAAACATCCCCCAACACTGCTCACTAGTACTACTAACTAAGTTTTTCCTTCCCCTTTTGTACATTCTCTCCTCAGATGCCTTTGAAATGAATCAGACTCTGGACCAAACTGAACCCACACAGCTCTCAGGTCTGTTAAATTTGATTCAGTCAGGGATGAATTATATAACGCTGTACCGATGAAGATTATCAGAAGTTGACCCAACACCACAAATCACTCACTTCGATAATACTGTATGAGTTTAGTTTGTTTTCTGCTGAATGCAATCTTGACATGCTAGATTGAAGAATAAATCACTATTTACCTCTAATGGATCTTCAAAAAGGTCCTTTTTAAGTTGCGAGATTTTCGATTCATTTGTTAAGAGTAAGTGCAGGATATTAGACAGCCTAACTAAGTAACTCTAACCTGAGTATAAATACGTAAATAGGCTACTATTAAAATCAATTTGCAAGAAATGCCACACTATATGTATAAAACAGTTGAAGTCAGAATTATTAGCCTCCTTTGATTTTCTTTTTTCTTTTTTAAATATTTCTCAAATTATGTTTAACAGAGCAAGGAAATGTTCACAGTATGTCTGTTAATATTTTATTCTATTATTTGTTTAACTATTGCTAGAATAAAAGCAGTTTTAATAATAATAAAAAAATAACATTTTAAGGTCAAAATTATTAGCCCCTTTACGCAAATTTTTCGTCGACATCGACTAATTACCCTAACCTGCCTAGTTAACCTAATTAACCTAGTTAAGCCTTTATATGTCACTTTAAGCTGTATAGAAGTGTCTTGAAAAATATCAAGTAAAATATTATTTACTGTAATCATGGCAAAGATACAATAAATCAGTTATTAGAAATGAGTTAGTAAAACTAAAGTTTTAATAAACTTAGTTTATTAAAAATAAACTATTAAAACTTTAAAAATGTTGAAAAAAAATTCTCTCCATTAAACAGAAATTGGGGAAAATACACACACACACACACACACACACACACACACACACTCACACACACACGCAAACACACAACAAAAACAAGTTAATTTGTAAATGTGAAATGGGCTGAAATGAAATGACGCTGGAAGTAGGCCAAATGCACATTAAATTTAAAATGGCTGCCCACCTTATTATGTGAAAAATAAAGGTGAACGTGAGAATCAGAAAGAAAGTGAGTTGTGCAACAGTTTGATGGTTTTTGACCTCAGGTGAGTTTTCTTTTGTTTTACTTAGAAATTAGCCTAGTACCTGAAATGATTCTGGAGGCTGTACATCCAACAGATCCAAGTGCAGGTAAGTGATTACTGAGTGTTAATTCTACATAAATTAATAGCCCAAGTAACTGATAACAGTTACTAAAAAACATGACTCTTGTCCTCTATTTACAGAATGTAAAGTTCCAGAAATAGCTGGTATGTTTTATTATTTTGTTGCTCTTTTATGCATGCATAATATACTACAAATATATATGTAGGCTGTGTATAATTGTTTAATTCATTTTAGACCTTTCCAAAACAACCCCAAAACCAAATTCTGTTGAAGTTGCAGGTAAATGTTTCTATTTTATTTGAACTTATCTAACGATTCATGCTGTTTAATTTGTTATTAAAAAAGGTAGACTTTGACCTATTTTCTCACAACCTTTTTTCCTAAGATGTTTCTGAAGAGAGATCTATTGAGACCAGCAGCTCGGGTTTATATACATATTTGTTCAACGTGTTTTTATGCAGTAATATATATTACATTAATCCACCATGTACATATTTAGAATTTCTTAATTTCATGTTAAAACAGACAGCAGATTACCTGAAAGAGCATCAACTGAAGACAGCAGAGGTATACTGATTTATTAAAAGTAGCTTAAGCAATTCAAAATCATTTAGGCTTCATAAATCAAACTTTTCCCCCTTTTTTACATTCTGATAGGATGATATAACAGATCTGTTGTTTTTGTTGTTTAAAAGCTGACAGAAACCCTTTTAAACAGCCATCTTATCATAGTCTATTCCATAAATGTATATAATAAATTTAATGTACTTTCAGAGAGTGACAAGTACAAAAGATTAGAGCTGAGAACAGCACTCGCAGGTAAACAGTTGTTTGAATAAGCAGTTTGATGCCATTCAAAAACATATCGCTCCTAAACTTTTATCTTGTACACTTGCATCACTGACACATTCTTGTCAACAGATGCTCACAAAGCATTACAGGAGCATTATGGGAACTCAGCAGGTAAGCGACTGATCCATCTGTTCCTCATTCTGCTACTGTTTGTAAACATGTCTGCTGATCTGATATAATCTTTATTGTCTTGTATATAGAGAGTATGAGTATGGACAGTACTGACATTGAGAGAGACTGGACCCAGGGCTCAAATCAACAAAGTAATAAAGAATCAGGTATGCAGCACAATCAGAAATTTTCCATAAGTGGTTTGAATTCCAGACGCTTTTTTAAAAACTCTAATATGAGGGATATTTCATAAAATAAAAACTAAAAAACTAAAGTCATGTCAAAAGTCACCCAAAAGGACTTAAAAGAAGCCCCTGTCCTTTTTGTTCACTTTAAATCTGTTGTTGGATAGTATACGTTAAACTACTGAATTTCCGCACACCAAAAACACCACACTGTAAAACGTTATATGAACAATTATTTATGACAACACATGTGTTTAGTTTATTATAACGTGTTAAACTAAGTTAATCATGTTCTCACCTATTTTTATAAGTTATGTCAGCAGTTTTAAGTCAGTTTAACATAGCATAAGTTCATTGGACTCTCAAGGTTAATTTGATTCAGCTTTATTTTAAGGCAACCAGGATTTTTTTTTTACAGTGTACTAAGTATTTTTCTCAGATGTGAGTGTAACTGATGATCTGCTCATTCATTATGTGACGTGCCATCAGATGCTTTTACTCCCTCACTTGCAGCAGTATTTGAGTTGCCAGGTTTGCATTCCGGGATCAATGATACCCATTAATAAACCATTCAGTTTTCATTTGAAAGAAACATTTTGGTGGCCACAGCACTTGGTGAAAGTAGCCCCCAAAAACCAGCAAGCCACAACTTCACATTTCCCCCATATCAGCATTTTCAAAAGAGTCCAACTGTGCAGAATAAGCCTTGCAAGATGAGTAAATAACCTACGGCTGATATATTTAAGTACCCTAAGCCAAATGTCAAATTCCCTGATTTTTCCATCAAAAGTTGAATTTCCATGACCTATATTGTACAGAAAAACAGGCAGTTGCTGCTTTCAGCAGACACTCTAAAAATTTGGGGCTTCTACAATTGCTGAATTTAATGCAAAATCAAGTAAATGCCACAAAATTCACAGAAGCTTACAGTTTTCTGGTGATGTTGGCCAGCCAGGACATTGTTCAAATTCTCTCCATGCCATCTGCATATATATAAAATGACATTTTATTTGCATATATCACATTTTAGTATAAAGTTATACATTTTTATAAAGTTTATAAATAAGGTTTCATGTAAATTATTTTTGCAAATAACAAGTGCTCAGCATAGAACTGCACTTCTTGATTTTCCTAAAGCTATTGTTAGAGATTTTTAACAGTTTTGTTATAGTGATCATTTTATTATAATTATGTATTAATTATAATGTACATAAATTTAGTTTAAATTCAGCTCAGCTTCACAAAATAAATGACATTTTAAAATTTTGAAAATAGAAAACTTTAATTACTTAAGAACTTAATTAAGAACTTAATTAAAAACAATATTTTGGAATGTTACTGTATTTTACAGTTTTTATCTAATAAATACTGACTTATTAATAAAGGGATAGTTCACCCAAAAATAAAAATGTATTCACTCTCAAGTGGTTTCAAATCTTTATATGTCTTTCTTCTCTTGAAAGAGTGCTTAAAACCTGTAACCATTGACATCTACAGTAGGAAAACAAATACTACAGCTAGCTTTCTGCAACTCTCACACGGTCGCCCACTCAATCTAAGCAGGGCTGCGGCTGGTCAGTACCTGGATGGGAGACCACATGGGAAAGCTCAGTTGCTGCCGGAAGTGGTGTTAGTGAAGGGGCGCTCAACCTGCTGTCTGTGTGGGTCCTAACGCCCTAGTATATTGAGGGGGACTCTATACTGCTCAGTGAGAACCTTCTTTCAGATAAGACGTTAAACCAGGGTTCTGACTCTCTGTGGTCATTAAAAATCCCAGGATGTTCTTCAAAAAAGGGTAGGAATTTAACCCCGGCATCCTGGCCAAATCTGCCCACTGGTCTCCATCCATATCTCATAAACGGCTTTATCACTGTCTACTCTCCACTAATCAGCAAGTGTGTGGTGTACGGTTTGGTGTAGTATGGCTGCCGTCTCGTCATTTAGCTTGATGCTGCACACTGATAGGGGATGAGAAGATTCCCCCCAAAATGTGTAAAGCGCTTTGAGTGTCCAGAAAAGTGCTATATAAATGTAGGGAGAATATTATAGATATTATTGTTATTACTACTACTACTTCTACTACAAAAGTCAGTGTTTATAGGTTTCCAGCTTTCCTCAAAAAATCTGTTTTGTTCTACAGAACAAGAAAACAGGTTTGTAATAAGTAAAGAGTGGGTAAATGTTGACCATTTTCATTTTAAAAAGTCCTATTATGGATCATCTTCTAACTGTATGCAGTGATGAAGGATGTTAGTAGTCAAGAAAAGGACAGACCCGAAGAAAATGAAAGATACCAGAAGATGGTTAAAAAACATCATTTCGACAGTCCAGAATTTGTGGACAGACCAGACAGTGAAGAACAAGGAATATCTCAGGAACAAATCTCAGGTCAGTCTAATTTAAAGTCTGCATTCAGATGAAGTTGCTGAGAAAACTACTTCCAATTGAAATGAAATATTGAGTAAGGGGTGGGGCTTTATTTTGCAAGATCTTTCCCTCATAGCAAACTAACGGTAAGAGGGGTGTGGCCTAGAAAATTGTGGATGAAGCCCTTAAACAGATGTCAAAAGAGAAGGACAGCCACTAGATACATGGAAGCAAATGTTAAAACTTTGACTGGAATCATTTTTTTAGTGAATGAACTTGCACAGATTTATTGGTCAGAATATCAGCGTGCACTAGCAAAATAAACTTTGCACTTTTTATTTCACCGAGACTTTAGAAACCATTTCATAGAGAAATAATCCAGCAAACACTGACTCTCTAATTAAATATTACACAGGGATCGTAGCAAAACCAAACTTCCAGGCCACTCTGGACGACAGCAGGGAAGCGGCTGGTGGAATCCCAGGATGCACAGAAACATCTGCTGAACATCCCATGGAAGAGAACAACAGTCTGGATGACACTAATGTGGAGCAGATCCGAAAGGACACGCCGAGGTATCAGAACCAGCTGAAGAAAATATGTCCCAGTAAGAGAGTACGAGCATCTGTCAACCCGAGTGCACAGCTGGATCTCCACAGTCCAGAGAGAGCCAACAGTGAACTTCTGGACAGTGACGACAGCGGTGAGAGGCTGAGAGAGCATGTGGCGCTTCCTCTCTAGAGGATCACTTACTTCTGTAGAACACAAGCTTGCTTTTTGATTATTATGATTATTAGCGCGATTTGGATTGATATTAGGGGTGTAACGGATCACAGTTGATCCATAATCTATGTGGAGGATGACTTATGGTTTGGAGAGTATGTGACCCTCTGATTAATAACTTGTTTTTTAAAAATATTTTTACCTGTAGATTAATCCAGCTTCTGCATCATTCAAATATATATCGCTTGACTTATGTGGCTTTCCTGCAAAATACAATGATGACAGAAGAAGTTGTGGTGGTACCTAGCCTAAATGTTTCATTAGGCTATTAAAGGTGTTTTCTGTCACTTCTTGTTTAGCCTGCATCAATGCATTCAGTGTATAGCTTCAAAATAAAACATTAAAAGATCAGGATCTCAATTCAAACACACACGCAGCATAAATTTATGACCAGCCATCAAAAATGTGTCACTAAATAATTGTTAAAAACTATACATCTAGTAATAAACCATTCATTTCTTTGAGTGAGTTACTGAAATGTTAATTGAAAATGAGTTCATTTTCACAACACTAGCAGACATCCTTTTCTATAGTATTGAATATTTTGCAATTTATTTTTAATCAGCTGGTTATTTCTTAATTTTATTTTTATTAAAATGACAGGTTTTAAGTTATGTTTGTTAAAAATAAAAGTTTTAAGCATTACTATTACTATTATCAAATTTGTCTCCTCCACTTTTTGGCTGATTTGTGTCTCAGAAACTGTAATGTTATCCAAACCGTGAGATTTGTGATCCGTTGCACCACTATTTGAAATAATTTTGTTCATTTGTTGTGGGCATGCATAAATAAAATATATACTCATATACATATAAGTGCCATGTACTGCATTGGTTCATTAAATTCAATTGTTCTCTGACATAGGAGTTATGTGGCTAAGGTAAGTCAAAATAAGTCTTCAGAAACCGTTTTTATGTGCTTATTTATTATCCCATAAAATACTCGCTGATTCAGAAGGTTCATATTGACAGTGGTGCTTATTGACTATATTTGGAATCATTGCAGAAATATTGATAAGCTCTGCTCTGATGTGCTTTCTCACTCTCATACACTTATGCATAAAATGGTGTGCTCTGCAATAAACATGAAAAATATTCATACTTCATTTAAAAAAAATAGATTTTTTTATGAAAAAAATTTAAATATTAAGAGTAGATGCCTTGTTAAACCCTTTAACTTAAGCAGTGAAGCTTTATTTTACCTACACTGCGTGAGCGAGCTGTCTAATTTAAGTCACAAGAGTAACTTATTTTATACACATGTTGTGTTGCAGATAAAATATAATGTTAGACAAAATTCTAAATAAACTTAAGATAAGTTACATATAAAATAAGACTGTATTTAATATAACTTGACAAAAGAGACAGACAGATTTGTGTTGTATTTTGAAGCTTTAATGTAAATGTAAACACTGCCAGGAATTTATATCAACCTCTGAATGATGTTTAATAAAGTGTATTGCTATTATTTCACTTTAGAAAAATGTCAATACTTCATGAGCGATATATGACTCTGCTTAAATATGCATTAAACTCACACACAGCAATACATGCGTTTGTTGCCTCATTACAAACATATGTGACAAATTTCACAATGAACATGATAAATAAACTATATAATTAAACATACCTTATGCCTCTTTAAAGTAGAGCTAAGTTTAGAATCTGTATATCCTGCATTTTGTACATTTTGTACTTAAGCTGTAAACTATAAACTAATGGTTTGAGTCGTTGCTTAGCAGTGCATAGAAAACTATCTAACAATCTAACGTGACTGGCTTTGGCTTTATTTAATGGGACTTTACTGCTTGTCCCGTTTTTAAAATAAGAGTCACACATAAAATTCAGTTTTAACATCAACATAAAAATAACGGAGGAAAATTACAATATGTTCTAATCTCAATGGGAAATCTTGTGGTCAATCAAACATAGAATAGGGAAAAATATTAGGCATTAGGCTGATCTCCTAATGATGAAAATAAAATACAAATTAAATGGGTACTGTAAGGGGTAACAACTTGATTTTAAAAGTTCATTTAACATTAACTGTTATCATTATTATTATTATAATTATTATAAATAAAAATAATAAATATAATTTTCAGTGGGTTTTCTAAGGACTAAGAACTCTAATATATTAATATTAATAAAAATCTTTTATTTTTATTTATATTATTAGATATGAATAAAGTGTTATTAGGTAACATAAGGATCAATATTTCTTTTTTTGTACTGAGATTGATTATTCAATAAAAATGTTTATAATTTTATAATTGCTTAATTGAAAAAAAAATCTTTAGTTGTTTTAAAGTATTTATTTTGTGTTTTTCCCAGCATATAATATTTAACATTTTTTTGTTTTGTGGTCAAAGATACTGAAGGAAAGTGTATTGTCAGATAAAATAGCAAATGCACCCTGAGTTAAAAAAAAGATAGTCACATTTCCTCGAGTATCCTGAAACTAATTCCTGCACTTAATGGGTGCTAATGTTCCCTTCATTCCACTGATTCAAAATGCGTACCGTTGACAGTGTATTTGTAGAGATTTAAATGTCTCTTTTTAGGTCATAGGTTAGCAACCGTGCCTTTTCCTCTAAATTTAGTCCCAGGTCACAGAGAACTGTTTCCTCTGAGTCTGCCATTGATTTAACACAGCTAAATGATTAAATCTCTCAGCGTGTAGCTTTAGACAGACAAATAGAGGATATTCATCAACTCTGACAAGACAGTTCGCAGCTCTATAGACATGCTGGTGATGAGTGTGTCTCATACGTGGGCCAGATCCACCTTTCCTATCCGTTTATCAGACACATCTCCATTCATCATATAGATCTCATTCCCACCGGTACTTATTTGTCCTGCGGTGTTGATTTTGGTAGGTTTTCATGATCTGAGTGTATGTAAAAGGCTTCAGGTACGGTTGGCTCGATGGCGTCCTGTTGGGGTCATAAATCATACAAGCTTCATCAACTCTACCAGGCCTCGGAGAGTCTTTTTCAGACTCGTAATGGTGACAGAGATGTCAGCATATCTGAGGAGATTTACAACAGATTCTCACTCACAGCAATTGGGAAATAATAGTTCCAGTTGCAGCTGCGCCGCTGGTCCAACAGGCCTATCGATCTCCACACAGCAATATTGGGGTGTTTTGAAGACACATTCGTCTGCAGAAAGACCATCAAATTACAACAAATCCTAGTAAATGAGAAACATGGATCATATGAGATGGAACGCCCTGTCAAGACTTTAGGAGAAGCATTAAAGGCGCTTAAAAGGGTATTCTGGGTTCCATACAACTTAATATCAATTGACGACACTGTGGCATAATACAAACAATTCATTATCCATTTCATTTTTTGAAATAAAATTTGCACTTATTGGTCAGAGACTAAAAATGATCAGAACATCATTGTACAAATCAGCTGTAAATAGGTTTTCCAGTATTTAAATGTGTCAAACAGAAGATGTGTTAACATCTTGTGCTTGCTGGGTGTTTAAGGCTGTTTTGGTTATTATAAGGTTAAAATCCATCATCCTTCTCATCAGCGACTTGCATTTAAACAGTCTCTGATCATTGCGTGTGATGATTTTGGACATTTTTTTTGGACTCTTTTAATGCTTTCAAACAGTTCCCTGCAATTATAAATCTTGAGGTAGTTCATTATGATGCGATTAACCTTCAGTGTGTGATTTGATTGGGCAGGAATCGCAGGACTGATTTTTCTAATCCCCATAGACAAAGGAAAAAAAGTAGTGAAGTAAAAGTTCCAATGCTGCACTAAAAATGTACTCAAGGGATAGTAAAAGCACACATTTTTAAAACTACAATTGCTAAGAAAAACTGTGCTTACTAATAGTAAAAGAAAAACTATTACTTACAGTCATTTGAGTATTTGTAATTTGTTACTTAACACCACTGGTACTGTGTAATATTTTCAATGGGAGCAAAAAACAAATCATACATTTTTTTTACCATGATTTATTGAAGATATTTACTGAAATGTGGAAACAATTTGTTTAATAAATGCATTTTCTTAGACACTAGACTAGCGAAAAAAGTAATACTTATGTAGCGGTACAAATAGGTGTTTGATTTTTTTGTGCATATTTGTTACATTGAATATGCTCTATTTATTTAAAATTGTTTGTAAAATTGATGTGAATGTGTCTTCTGTGGCCCATTTACTAACCATAAACGTAAAAACACCTACTTTTTTTTATTATTTTTAAACTGGTAGCCTTTCCAGTGTAAAGTTATGTCAAACTTTTAAGTTTTGTAAAATATTACAATGTGATACATAAATCCTTAAAACAACCATAAAACAGAATATATGAGGCTGAAATAATACACAAGTATTACGCAACATCATTAAAACATTATATATAATTAGACACACTTTAAGGTACAATTACTATGACTTTTTAAAATAGCTTTTAGTCATGCTGCCCCCTCATCCTGGAATACTCTTTATTCAGAACTTAAAACATCTGAGCTCATCCCGATTAAATCATTTCGCTCTATCCTTTATAACAAACAACAACAGTCCATTTTTCGATATACAGTTGAAGTCAGAATTATTAGCCCCCCTGAATTATTAGGGTCCCTGTTTATTTTTTCCCCTAATTTCTGTTTAATGGGGTGAAGATTGTTTCAGCACATTTCTAAACATAATAGGTTTAAAAACGTTTTTCTAATAACTGATTCATTTCATCTTTGCTATGATGACAGTACATAAAATTTTACTTGATATTTTTCAAGAAGCTTCTATACAGCTTTAAGTGACATTTAAAGGCTTAACTAGGTTAATTAGGTTAACCAGGCAGGTTAGGGTAATTAGGAAGGTTATTGTATAACGATGGTTTGTTCTGTAAAATATAGAGAAAAAAAATAGCTTAAAGGGGCATTCCTTGCTTTGTTAAACATCATTTGGCAAATATTTAAAAAAGGAAAAAAAATCAAAAGGGGGCTTATAATTCTGACTTCATATGTATGTGTTTTAACATATTGTAGTGTGGTATGGCTGAATAACCAAACTGTATTTTTTTCAATATTTATT